AGCGGGGGGACTGACATCTCACCACGTTGGCTCCTTCCCGGGTGTAATCTTCAGCTTCTCCCAGCAATGGTTCCTAGTTTTCAGGTGACAGGGTTCTCATGTCTCCTGTTAGATTTAACCGTGAGGATTTCGCGGGTTTTGATACTATTGCAAATAGAATTTTAAAGAGTTGATTTCTGATTATTTGTTGTTGGTATAAACACAACTGATGACTGTGTACTGATCTTGTTCCTGCAAATTTGTTAAATTCAGCGATTAGTTCTAGTAGCTTCACTGTAGATTCACTAGGTTTTTCACATAGATGATCACGGCATCTTTCCAATTGAAGCATATCTCACACGGAACCTTGTGTACATTTAAGGTGTACAACATGCTAACAGGACACACTTACATGTTGTGATGTGGTCGCCACGACCACGTCATCTGTGACTGGACAGTTTGCCCCCTCCCTTTCCCATCTGGATGTACCTATGTTTTTCTTCAAGTCTGTGAATATTGTATGGTGACTGAGTTGCCAATATTAAGCCAACCTTGCATTCCTTAGATAAACCTCACTTGGTCAAGGTGTAGTTGACCTTTTTATATACTGTTAGAGTCAACTTGCTAAAGCATTTGGAATTTTTGGAATTATGTTTATGAGATACTGTTTTCTTGTCATGCCTTTGGTTTTTGTGTCATGGAATAAGTTGGTAAATACATCATTTTCTTTAACCTTTTGCGTTTGTGTAGAATTCCTTAAGCATTTCATAGAGTTCACAGTGAAGGCACCTGGAACTGTCTTTTTCAATTTTTTAAAAATAGAAACACAGATACTCAGGTTATACTTCTTCTTGAGTGAGCTTTGGACGCTCATGTCTTTCAAAGAATTTGATGTTTAACCTAACATGTCGAATTTATAGGCATAAAGTTGTTCATAATACTTCCTTATTATCCCCTACATCTGTAGAGTGTGTAGCAATGCTACTTTTCTCATTTCTAATTTTAGTAATTCCTGCCTTCTCTCTCTCTCTCTCTTTTTTTTTTTGGTCTGGCTAGAGTCTTATCAGTTTTAGGATCTTCCCAACAGAAGATCATAAAACTCCTCTGTTATTTTTCTATTTCATTGATTTTCACTTTGCTCTTTTCCATTTTCCTCCTTTTCCTCACTTCGGGTTTAATTTGTTCTTTTTTTTTTTTAAATCATTTCTTAAGGTGGAACTGCGGTCACTGATTTGAAATCTTTCTTCTCTTTAATACAGGCATTTAGTAGCATCCAAAGCCGAACTAAGCTGTGCTTTAGCATCA